ACGCTAAAACGTTTTAGATCCGCGTCCAGAGATAACCTAACCTTCGTCATAGCTTACCGAGCACGCGCGCGCGCGCGCGAGGCTTTTCTTGTGCATATCCGCCTGCCAGCAGGCTATACTCGTTTCGGATGGAAACGATGTAACGGTAGGTCCGGGTTTTTTCTATCTCTGCACCGTGTTCGGCCGCTTAATTTCCCTACGACCGCATTTCCTCCCCGGAGTCGTCCGTTCCGTCCGTGCCCTTTGCCACCGTGCTCCAGATCCAGCAGATAGAACGGTGGCCGGCGCGCCGTCTCATTGTCGCCGTCGCACCTACGCCGACGGGATGGCCGAACGTGCCGGACCGGCTCAACGATTAATGAACGAGGAAATCGTTGCTCCGCTACCGTGCAACCGGTTCACCGTGTGTGCCACTTAGGCCTCCGAGGGGCGCGTGGATTTAATTAAAGATGAATAATTAGCATCCGGAACGATCCGGCTCATCGTATGGTTAAAAGTAACCTTGATTGACATACACGTCGAAACGATGAAGAAGAGTAACGATCCGTATTATCCGCGCGAAACACGGTTGCGATAAGTCTACGTTCGATGAATAGGTATCATTAGTTTGTATCAGTGATCGAACGTGTGGTTACTTCAAGTAGTATTTTTAGAGTTGAACTCCTCTCTTCAGGGATCTGTGAAATAAGCTTCTGAAGGAAGGAATTCTTTATTAGCGCGTCGACGCGGGAACTTGGAGAGATTCGTGTAGCATTATTATCATAACAAAGTAAAGTGGTATTAGAATCAGTTATTAATGCTTTGGCATCATAGTTCCTGAGTTATACTAGTGTTTAGTTACTCATATTACTAACATTTTAATTCGATATCAGTTTCCTTCTTGTAATTGTTTTCTAGTCATTTGGATCACCAGCTGTTAACTACCACGCGTTAACAGTCAACACAGCTGAGGTCAACGTATAATTAATTACGGTTCGATTTCATGCTACTGGTACTGGATCTTCTCGCCCAAAACGAATGTTTCACCGAACTCGACTGCAGCTTTGTCCTTTGCCTGCCTTCTGCCATCGAAGCATCCTAAATCAATCGTTCCCACCCACTCCTGTCGCTCGTGCTCCGCAGAGGTCCGCGATCACGCAACCATCGGGAATCGATAATAGCGGCGCGATCGTAAAAACGCGTATCGTTCCGCCGCGAAATCTCGTTTGGAACCGGTGACGCAACCGTCCTGTAAGAGGCTCGTAAACGTTGCCGGACAATGCGTCGGGAATGCCGGCCGCGGGACATGACACTTTCCAGCCAGAAAACCAGACTACCGGCGTGCACCGTGTCCATCCTGCAAACTGGCGAATTATTCAAACGAGGCTGGCCGGGGAGAACCCACGGCGTTCGCAAACCGCGCGTTCCCGTTGCCTCGCCGCGACCGGCTCGCTCAATTTCCCAGCTGTCCTTTTTCTTGTCGTCCGTTCGCGCAGAAAACACGCGCGCGCCCCGCCTTGGCCACCTCGAATGAGCAGTTTTCCGCCGCTATATTTCCCCTTTTTTCCTGTTAGAAACACGTGTGGTGATCGCTATTGCGAATAAATGATTTTCCGCTTGGATTCTTTTTCATTTTTTCTTCTCCCGAAGCACGCGCCCCGCTGCAACCATTTCGAACTCGGGATTCTTTGGTTTTACGCTGTTTTTCTTAGCGGAAAACCTGCACGAACACGGATTATACGATTGATTTTTGTCTTCACTGTTATTTTGCTTAAGAAGAGACGATCTCTCCAGTGTCTTATCGCAAACTTAATCAGTTCTTATGGGTTGAATACGAAACGTTCCGCAAGATCTTTTACATTTCTTGCTTCGGTCCTTCGATTCTTCGAGAGATCCTCTTCTCTTCCTTTGTATTGGAAAGCGCCACAGCGGCTCCGTTAAGGCTTTCCATTATTCCCGTCTATCCACCAGATAACGCGAAGCCGGCAGCCGTGAATGCATGATTTCCTTCATCGACGTTTCTTTCCCCTTAGAAGCGTGGAACGCGCGCGCGCAGCTGGGCCGCGTCGAATGCGTAATTTTCCGCGGGAACAAAAGGTCCCGAGCAAAGGTGAAGCACGCGCGAGCCGAATGCGTGATCCCCGCGGCGCGGCGATTCCGTGCAGACCGCGTCGAAAGTGAAAGATTCGACCAGGCGTGTCCTCGAGGGACCAATTATCCTGGGCGTAGCAATAATTAGCCGCGGCCGTTTCACGGAAAACACTCGATTATGCGCAGGCGTGCCCGCGGACGGAAATGGATTGCGTTTCAAAGAGTTTCGCGTCTCGGTTTTATTATGCGTATCAGAATTTTACGACGGAATTAATTATTCCTAGTGTGCTGTCGGGGCGTGGCCATTTTGAGGAAACCGCTGGCGTTCGTATTAAAGCGTGTACACTCCACCTCCACGGAAAACGAGTGGAAAGGGGGGAGAGAAAAGGGAAAGAAAAGAAGTAGCCTGTGAGAGCATCCCCACATTAGTACCCACCAATTTCATCTCGGACTGCCAATCCAACCTTGTCGCCACACATCGCAAGCAAGTATGTGTGTAGAACAATAAAAGTGTTGCATAACAGAGTCCAATTCGGAGTTTCAACTATAAACAATTAACTCTAAACGTACCGGCACTTTATATTCCGATCGTAACCGGTCATACGACTGGTTATACAATAAAGATAAGCAAATGAAACGATAATTTATTTTTCAATGAAAACAAACGAAAGGAACGACGAAAATTGAAAATCTGATTAATCGAACAATGTTAGAACTGACATAAAGTGAAATGGTCGAACATTGAATTTTCAACGAAATTTGAAAACCGGTTGTTCGACCGGTTGCGGTGCGTTTAGTGTTAAAAATAACTAACAGCTCGTCGACGGTTCGGAGCGGCATCAGCGTCGGCTAAGTAGGCTACTATTCCACCGATCGGGACCTGCGGATTTTATTGTCGTCCGGTTCGATGTTCGCGAGCAGACCTAACCGTCTCGCGACGAGCAGGGGACGCGCAAGCGAGGGCTGGCGCGAGCGCGAACGCGCAACCGGCGGCCGTTAAGGGCGTCTCGAAGTGCCACTTCTTTGTAATTACACCCAGTAAATCGTTTCACGCGGGACCATTACACGGTGATCCTTTACAGCGGTTAGATAATAACCACGTGCGATTCCGCGTTAAAAACGATCGGCCGCGGCCGTTCCTTCGGCTTTTCGTTCCTTTTTCCCTCTTTGTCTTTCTTCCTTCCCTGGTTTTTCCACTTTGCTTTTCCGTCCCCCCGTTTGCTCCTTTTTTCATTCTACGAGCGAGTGCGTTTCGGTGTCGCTGGACGACACCGTCGGGCGGAAACGTTCGATAATGATTACGATCGTTTGGAAGATACAGCTCGCGCAATGCGACGTGAAAAATGACCGACGAAGCCATTGGAAAATCGCCGTGCGGTCGTTGGTGGCCGGACTCGTCCCGTCAGTTTGTCCCGGCACTAATTTGAATAATTTCCCGGCCTGCTCGGTAAACACGACATTCTGATAATCCGCTGTCGCCGGTGACTCTTAGTAACTGTCCGGCCGGGATGCGCGCCAGCCACGATGTATTCTCGGTCTCTGAACCTCCCGTAATTTCAACGCCCCGCGATTCATCATCCGCGCCACTTTTACGAGTCGAGTTACCCGAGCATTTGTTCTTCGCCGGATTTTCACTTAGTACATTGATCGATGCGTTGCTCGTGTAAGTAGGAACACGGGCAACAAGATTCTTCGGCTACCGTGATGATATCCAATTCACTCGGGATCTATCGGTTACAAGCTACCAGTGTCTGTTTTAATTAAACGCTTTGGTTTAGTTCGACATGATTGTTGTTTAATCGCTGATAACGGTGAAATTTATAGCACTTTTGTAACGCGCGATACTAACTACGATGATCGTTATCGGAAATACCGCGCTACGGTATTTTATTTAATCTCTGCCGAGCGCATCGTTCCGAACTATTCGGATTCCGAGGCCGTAAATTAGGTGCTCGTGTTCTTTGGTGCTCGCACAAGCGAGTTAGCACCCGAAAAACCGGTCGAACGGCGTGGAAACACGGTTTCCCGTCCGGCCACTGAAATTTCGAGATAATCAGCCACTTTGTAAGGAAAGCACGATCCTCGAGGTGGTTCATTGTCTTACCAGACACTCAGAAAGTGTCACTCCCTTTTCCGCCCGTGTTGTGGCGACCGGCCTCGCCTGTGATTCTATTACAAGATGTCTTCGCATCAGCCGATTCAACGGTCCTCGTCGCGACGCGCGTGGATTTCTTTTATTCTATTCGCGACTAAGAAACTTCATATCTGAATTCCTCGACGAAATATCTCGCCGATGAATGCAAGATTATTACCGTAATGCATAAAGAAACTATACTCTGATTTATGAAAGAAATGCCTTTGGAGGTTGACCCAACGTATTCACGCCTCGTTGACTAATCGAAATTTTTTATTACCAATTGGTAAAGTGCATACTTCGCAACGTGAATGCATCATCTAACAATTCTTCTCGTCTTCGAGCTAATTCAGCGCATTTTCCCGTGGAAGCAATTCTACGGTTGAGAACCGCCGTCACAATTCGTATCCGTCTAGCGTTTATCTCCGCATGACCGACGTCGCCCAGGAGACGATATATTCCGTCGCGGACGCAAAATATAATTCATCGGCTGCGGCCGTCGTTGATATACTCGCGCCTGATGGCCGGCGCGCCGGGTAACGTATGGGTTTCATGGATTTTCCGGTTTCGAGCGGCCGCGTGGTGACGAGGAAGGAAACAGGAAATGTCGTTGTCGGGTACGTTGCACGTGAGCTGTACGCGCGATGAAAACCAGCCGCTTTATCGGCCGGCTGCGACGGAAGGGAGGCGAAAGGTCGGGGAGCTCGGGCCGCTCGCTCGTTTTTCAGCGTTCGTCGCGCGCTTCCACGTAGTGATTTTCGGTGACGGGGTTTAGTCTTCCGTCCGCGTGAGCAGCGTGTCCTTCAAGCACACGCCGGTTTGGCCTAACGAGACGAATCCGTTAAAGGAGGAATTTCGAGGCTATAACCGCCGAACACTCGAATCGGTTCGTACGTACTTTATTATAAGAATTACGAGAGGTTTTATCGAGATTTCAGTTGATTTATAACTTAGAATGTACTAGTTAACTGCGTTCGATGAGTGTACGTGTCATCTTTTATCGTAAATACTTAGTTGTTTAAGGATGAAGTGTATAGTTTTTTAAAGGAAGGTGTAATTGTTCGAATATATTGTAGTTTCGAAGTTCTACAATTAATCGGTTAACGAATTAAGTTTAATTGTTTCTTAGTAAGGTACTTTTAGTCTTTTTATATTTGCGAGAAGATAGTTGCGATCATTTTGATCCTTCGGTGGTTTTAGCGTTGATACAAAATAAATACGTTGGTAAAAGTTTAGAAGTAAGAACTGTTTAAGAACAATTGAATCGGGAATAGAGAATTCGGATAAAGAATGGTAAATTAAGAAGCAGTTTGTGAACTGAACGTATGTATTAGTTTGATTTGTGAAACGTGAAAGAGAAAGAGGATGTGAACACGGTCTCCTCTGATTTCTGTTTCAGAAACGGGACACAAAGGACAACGAAATAACAAGTGAGTACCATTTCCATAGTACAAAGGGATTAGTCATTTGAATGCAGAATCGTTTCCCCGTGAAGTCGGTGGAAATATTTTAAGATGCTCTTAGTCATTGGCGTTCCCTTGTTAACAAGTGGTTTACATTGGAATGCACTTGAAGCGACGACCGGGGATTCTGATGAATATTCTCGTTGATCTACGTAAATCTAAAGTTTAAGTGAACCGTAATTATAGATATTACTCGAGAAAACAATTAAGAATCCTAAACGATCATTGGAAGAAACGATTCTGAGCTCACCGATGATTCACGGCAATGTATAACGTTCGAATTACACGTTACTCAATTCCTTCAATCAAACAAAAATCCTTCGTATTCAACACAAACGTGGAAAGACCGATAACTGGACGCAATCAAAAAATTTTTCATTGCCTTCACCATCTTGTATATTTTGCACTCTGAAACCTTTAGCTTGCTTAAGTGCCTTGTTAAAAGAAGCAACCTCATTTACTCTAATACAGACCAACCTCGCATTCCTCTTACATATACGTCGAATATAATACTGGAATCTCATTTTAAAACACAAAGACTTCTAATTAAAGGATCGCTTTTAATCGAAAATTGCTGTTCTGCAAACCCCTGTAACATTGTAATAAGAAATCGTACAACATTCCACATGGGTTTACTATAAAGTATAAAGCTTCTACTTTCGGCCTGGCGTTCGACGTATTAACTCGCACGGGTCACGGATGACCCACAACGGTCCGAGGACGGTAATTACACGCGTCCCGACGATACCGTGAATTATTACGCGATAACGTGGGCCCGGAACAGTGAAAGTATCAGCCGACCCAATCGGCAAAGTTCAACGTGGTCATCGGTGATAGACGCGTCGGACATGACCCACGGCGGAACGAGCGTGGAACGCCCGGTAATTGCTTGGAACAGGGCTGATACCGTGAAACGCGCCGGGACAACGTATCGTCCGGGCGAAAACGCGTCAGGGCCCCTGATTAGAAAGTATATGTACCTATACGCGGCGCGGGTCAACGCGCAACCTGGAAACAAGTTACATTGGCTCGCCCCGCGGGTCATCAATTGTAACTGTACATACGTTTCAACCCGGTGAAACGATAAAGCGCGGACCGCGTGTTCCCGTGGACAGGGAATCAAACGTATAATTCGATCGAACCTTAATTGACCGGCCGGAACCGTCGCGAATGATGAATGATCGCCGCTGTTTAATTGATTCAAATGGACGGCGACGGTTATGGAAACGGTAATACGACAAGCACCATTTCAAATGAGAATTATGAAATATCTTGCGCTGATCGATTCTGCCAACACTCCGGTTTCCTTCGATTCCGCTTCGTCTAATACTTCAGCGACTCTTTTTCTCCGGCAATGTGTAATCAGTTCGAGAATTGTGAAATGTAATTATCTCGATTGTAAAATATGGGATTTGTATAGTGACACTGTAACTGGTAATGGTTAGTTTAATGGTTCAACACTCTGCAATTGAGAAATGAGTTATAGCCATTTGGTTTGATGGAATTATAAAATTTGATATTGAATATCAAATTTAATTAGATGTGAGAAATATTGAAGTAGAATAGTTTAGTCTTTGATTTGAATATTACTTCTGTTTAATACGGTCGACAATTGCATTAATATTTCTTTGTGAAATGATGAATGTATAATCAATCTTTCGAGTGCGAAGGGTTAATGATGTGAATTCTCTTTTCTAATTAGCAAATGTACAGGTCTGCGACTGTAGTGTGCGATTCGGAACACCCTGTACGAGAGGATTGTAATTACGGCGACGTATAATTTGCGACCGCGGGTCGCGTCACCGTTTCCACGCGACAGACCGAAATAGTTTCGGCGAAAGGGCGCGACACCATTAACGCGATTCACGGAAGATGTTCCGGGAACGCGATCAGGGAGCCAAAACCGCTCGTTCCTCGCGTAAGATCGATCGCCCGTCTCGTTTTTATCGTTTCGTCGCGTGGTAATGAGTGCTGCCTCTGTAATGGCTCGCTGCATTAACATCGCGCGCGCGCGTTCATCATGTCGAGGAGGCCACGTCGTTCTCGACATTATCCAAACATGTCATCATTATTTCGATTTCCTCGAAATTCCTCTCGGCAACGTTTCATTTTTATCGTCATCATTATCAATACAGTGTCTACAACTCATTAATATCGGAGTCATCATTAATCCTTTACCTTCAAATAAAGTGTCAGACTCACGGTGAAGATTCGAACAGAATTTAACAGGCATGAATACTAATCGATTCTCTTGAATACGAATTAAATATTATTCTCCTGTTATCAATTATACTTTGAAGCAAAGATTGATGTAGAATACGCCTATAATTTTATTCTTCTTCTTAATAAACTATTAATAACAAAGTAGCTGTATCGATCATAGTTGAGAAATAATTCGTAGGACAAGGCGTTAATATCAGTACGAAAATAAAAGAGAACCTCGAATGCATCATCGATCAGAGACCATTCCGATCGATAACGAACCTATTCCATAAATTAATACGATAATTGGATAAAAGTAATAATTACACCACGATTATTAATACGGATCTATTCTTTTATAGAATTATGCGTGTATAATGGAAGGGAGGTGCTTCACGAATTTATCTAGGATGAAAAGATCATCGAGTTCAACCGCGGAGTTCGTTTGAAGCGCGAGTCGATTAACCGCCTGCAGAAGTTTAATAATGAACCGGTCGATCTTTCTCACTGGCGTATCGCGAGAAATCGCGGATATATTTCTCGGGCTAATTGTAGATTTTTCGCGGGGCGCCGGGATAGGTCGTCTGCGAACGCGAGACGCGTGTGGTGCATTTGAATTGCAACAGCCCGTAAGCACCGTAATAAAACTAATTAAAAGTAATTGCGAACTGTAACAAAAGGGAATAAATAATCGTCCAGGTTGGCGCGGCAATCTAAGCGTAGTCGGACTCGGAAAATAGGAATACTAATTAGAATGGGGTAAACGGCGATTGGACGTTAAATGGCGAGCTGGAATCGGCATTTAAAACAATTCCTCGTCTATACGGCTGTGTGACGACACCGTAACACAGTATCTGTCCGTTCCATTCTTACAGCGGACGGTGTGCACGTTTACGACACCATTCTCTACGCCATCGAAACGATTTCATTCGTTTCCCCTCATCCGACCGAGTCAAATGAATTTTCATTTCGCTCGTTCACCCGTCGTGCCCCCGCGTTTCGCCATAGGAAAAGCTGCATTTTCAAGAACAGCTTTTCTCCAAGCAAACGTCGCGTAACTTATTTTTAACACACCACTAATCACCCTTTTGCTCGCTCGATTATATTACTACGCCACCGTACATGGTAATTAACATCGTTATGGAATATATATTACATTTGTAAAAAGATTCCCGTATAACCAGGATTATATTTGTCTCGCACAGTGGCTTCCCGTCGTATCTATTATTGTCTGCGGCAATTAACACTGTTGTAGAATGCTTTATTGCTTTTGTAGAACAATCCAGAGCTACCTGAATTTCATTCCTTTACGGTACAGTGCCTTCACTCCGAGTGTATTGTTCGAGCACAATCCGCGGTTCTGAACGAGATTTTCAGAGAATGATCGTTAACCGGTTACTTTGAAAATTAATCGACCACTAAGTAAACCAGATGTCACACGAGAGAATATTAGAAATATTTAAGCACAAGGAATATAACGCGCTACAATCGTTTTAAATATCCAAACAACGTTGACGAACTTCAATCTGCAAATACTTCACATACATCCCTTGTTTCCATGTTTCATCTCAGCTCAGACAGTCACACATCAAAATACGTTCGCCACATCGCCAATCCCGAAATAAATGCTCGTTCGAGCCCGCTCACGTTCCATCGCGTCTCTAATAACCGTACATTCGCGGGGACGATCGACACCTTCTCCGATCCGCGATCAGGCTCGAGATCGAAGCAGCCCCGTCGAAATTTCGCGGACAAAAAGCCGGCGTCCAGTAATGCCGGAGTGATCGAACACGATCGTGCGCTCGTGCCCGGTATTTTTTCGGCAGGCGGCGATGATCTCTTCTTGCTCGGTGCTCGCGCGGAAAAGTGTTAAAAAGCGGTGTACCGTGCGTACAGGCGGCGGTACATGGCCGGCGCGTCTTGTACGGCCGCTTTTTCTTGCGCGGTTCACCGTGGAACCGCAGGAATCCCGCGATGAAATTGGAGAACGGAAGGTGCTGCAGGCGAAGAAATCGAACGCGGCGGAAAAAAAGAGGGCGCGGAAGGGAACAAGGAACAGGGAACGATCGGCGCACGAACATTGTACGCTGAAATTCAATTTTCTCGATCGACAAATAAACGACGGACCGCTGACACGCAGCACGAGTCCGTGGGCTCGCGTGATGCCAACTGCCCCGCGGTCTCCGCGTTCTTGTTTTTTGGCAGCCGCGCGGAATGGGATCACGCAAGACGGGTCGCGCCTACGCCCGAACGCTAATTACGGTTTTCGTCGGAAATCCCCGTGCCGACGCGCAAATCGAGATTGATTCCATTAACCTCGCGCCTCGTAATAACGCGTCAGACTCGTGCTGAAGATTTTAACCGTGTGATTTATTTCTCTGCCATGATCGATACAACTACTTCGTCATTGATGATCTACCGAGAAAAAGAGAAGAGTTCTATTGTCCGTGTTTCGTGTGCAGTAGAGTAATCGATAACGGAAGAATAATGTTTAATTTGAATACGGAAGGATTGAGTAATATTGATGCTTGCGAGAGGTTATTCTAGAGGTATTTCTAATCTTCAACGCTTCTTGTATGTATTGCATCGAAGAAATTCAATTATTTTGATGTGTGTTTTTATAGGAGACCGTAACGCATGTAGCACGCAGGTTTATTTGATATTGTATTTTTTCATTTTGTGTATTTTGCTTTTAATTGTCTTCGAATCGCGTGATACGAGTGAAACGATTGATGCGCGAGAGAAATGTGCAATTACTTCTGTTA